TCTTAGTATAACTGTTATGATGTGTTCAAGGCTTACCGTCTGAGTTGACAGTTAAAACATTTTACATTCATGTGTCGTTTTAATAAAAATCACCTAAAATAAAGGAAGCTGTATTAATATATCAGCTAAAAATGATAAAACAAATCACTAAAGACATGCAGGCATCAGTCATTAATGCAGCTGAGCGGTGATTATTACCAAATTTAAAATGTTTCCACCTACTCCCAAACCAGGGATAGGGCTCAGATTAACAGGCTTTACTAAATTTTTTACCCAGTCGAGGAATATCTGACTTTATTTTTGACATTATCAACCGCTACATTTTATGTCTTCCAATAATAGATATTGATTTATTTCAAATAACATCAAACTCAGGATCAGGACAAATCCTGCCAAAAGCAAACAGTTCATCCATGTTTCCCTGATTTAAGTATTCCGACTTTTTGGATGCACACACAGAAGAACAAGTGAAAGAAAGTTAAATTGTATCATACTTTTATGAAGGACTAAACACAAAAGCGCATCATGTGCATATATTTAATAGGGAACAGTTTTGGTTCTTGGGGTCATTATTGATGTACTTCTGCTTAGTCCCAAATGATTTTTGTTAAACCCGTCTGCCAACTCGGGCAAGTCGAGACTAGCTATTCATTTCTGCTACCATCCTCCAAACTCTCTGTGGCTCTCAGGTTTTAGTAATAATGGCTCAGCTTTGGGAGAACAGGGTGAGTAAATCTAAGAAATAGAGCCCTTAATTCTAGTTCTGAATGGCCCTATTTTGGAACTGGGACATTTCAATCACTCAGTGGCTTTTAAAATAAATTACAAGAAAGAAACGAAAATAAAATTTGACCGGATGATGGGTGATCTTTATAGTGATTCATGGGGAGAAAAAATGTCAGGAGGGCTCAGTCTAACAAAAAAACTGCAACCACGTAAGGTCCTTTTAAACTCATTACAAACAAAAAAGGGAATTTTCTTGGTTGTATGAAATCATGTTTTTTGTTATTGTGCACTCGACAGGCATAATTAGGGCCATGATAGTGTGTGGTAGTGATCAGGCTTGAATTTGAATATTTTTTTTCCAATGTTTACAAATTCAGATCCAAAAATCAAATTTTTAGAATTAAAAAGAAAAGATCTAGGTTGCTCAGATTTGATTGGTCAAATTCAGATCTAAAAAGTCTAGTTAAAATTTATATTTTATTAATTTTTCATATTGACATTTGAACTTTGAAAATCATGTATCTAACTTTATTTGTTCTGAATTTCCCTTTTAAAACTTTAAAATATTAATTTCTTGATTTGCAATGTCAAAAGCTGAAATTGGATATATTTTTTTCAATGTTTACAAATTCAAACCTAAAAATTCAAGTTTCATAATTAAAAAAAAAAAAAAAAAAATCAGATTGCTCAAATATTGATTGATCCAATTCAGAATTAAGAAATGAAATTCAACCCAACTGACCTAATTTCCATTTTAAGCATTCAGTGGCTGTAAAAATTCAAATATTTATGGTCTCGTATTTGCTCCTATAGCTCAACACTATAGTGAGAATAAAATACAGTAAAAGAAAGATACCCAGGGCATCATTTATACTGTAGGAAATGTGGCAACTTGACTCAAAGTAAAGGCTAAACATTAAAGGGCAGGGACACACTGACAGCTGCTGTTACTTACAGCTCACAGACAAAAATAGCCTCCACACACTGAGGATTGGATCAGTGATTTTTTTAAATCTAACTTGTACCTAGAATGATTTTTCTGACCAAATGTACTGTAAAATGATTTTCTGTTACTAATGAATGTGATTCCTAGTAATCACTTTTCTAGTTCTCAGTGTGTGCTGGCATTACACGCAGTTACTGAGTCCTCACAGGTTCGAACATTCAGCTTCATACGCTTATCGCATCAGCTACATGATTTTATTCGTTAACCTGCACTGGAAAATGAGTGTAAACGGATATAAAACAGACAGGATTCAGTCGTCATACAGGGTGTCAAACTGTGGTCACACAAAATATGAAACATTAATGTGAGGAAACATATAAGATGACGGACGGCATCTAAAATGCATTCTAGTCCAAAAGAAACAGACCAACTGAGGACAAAAATTAGTTCCAGTAGAAAAAAAGCAGACTATTAAATCCTTTTGTTTAACTAAAAAAAGACAACATGCATATTAAATACATTTGTTAATTTGTTTTATATGCTCAACAGGACAAGACTTTGGGTGAAAATATTCAACTTAATAAATACGTAAATAATTGTGATGACAAACAGTGATTATTATTTAGTAGCAAGAATTTCAGCTTTTTACGCTAATAACCCACAAACGCAAGTTTGTTTTTTTACTCATAGGGCTATTTCGACATTGAGTAATTACAAGCTATTACAGGTTTTTATATTTGTCGCAGTTGTACATGAATATCAGTGCACAGCAGGATATGCTTGTGTTTTGTTTTAACTGTCTGTTTAAACATAGCTAATAGAGGGTTTTCAGTTAGGTCACAAATTAATCAGCCTCATCTGGCACCATAATGTAGGTCCATGTAGTTGAGATTTGGCTCTCTGCTAGCTGAAAAACCTTGTTGTGATGTCACTGTAGAAAGTTTCATTGTCAAACAAACTGAAGAGCCTGATAAATTAGATTTGTTCTTATGCTACAGTGCTAGCATCTGCTAAGAATTGTACATAAGCTAGTGTCCAAAATAGTTGAATTAAAAAAAAAATAAAAAAAATTAACCAGCCATTAGCTAGCAAACAAAATACAAAAGCAAACTTAAAATTTAACAATGTCTTTGTTTACATGGTAGAAATTTAGCTCTCCAAAACCTAGCTGAAATAACTTGTTGTACAGGATCAGTGGAAATGTTCAGAAAAATTCTTAAATGTAAAATTCTGATGAATTACATTTTTTTCTTAAGCTATAGTGCTAAGAATTGTACTTTAGCTAAATTACTGATATTCAGCTGGCAGCAAAAATTAATAACATTAAACCTGCAATATAAGATGTCTTTTTCATGATCTTGACATGCACTGTAAATTAGTGCACGTCAACATCAAGAAAAGCAGATTAATTTAAGCTATATTAATATTTAGCAAACAGTTAGCTGGCCAAGAAAATATGAAAACATCGAACTTGGAATTTCACGATGTCTTTGTCTATATGGTAGAGATTTAGCTCTTCAAAAGCTAGCTGAAATAATATCTTCTCGTAAAGTGTGTGTAGAAACATTCTCAAATGTAAAACTCTGATACATTAGTTTTGTTAAAATGCTTGTTTCTACTAAGAGCTATAAATTAACTAGTATCCAAATGATGAATTTAAACTGTATTGATATTTAGCTAACAATTAGTGAGCTTAAAAAAATGTGAAATGTCCTTTTAATTCTGTTGAGACAACCAAACTGCACATTCAGGAAGGCAATCAGCTGTAATTATGCCAGAGAGCTAAAGACCTCCCACATGGCTGCCAGAGGACGTGTTAAACCACCTGAAAAACTTTGTATATACCAGACAGTTGGTGTAGACAGACCAAAACACTTATCCACATTACTCCAATTCACTATAGCTAAGTAGTAACACGGAACCTATAATACCAACCTCTATTACTACCATGGACTTGGAAGTGTATGCTAACAAACAGTTGCTACATAGTTGGTAGATTAGCAACATGTTAAAAGTTGAACAATGGACAGGGACAGAGGGGTTAGTGAACCTGGAGGCCAACCAAGACACAGATTATGTCTGTCTGCAGGGGAACTTAGTTGTAATCACTCATCATCATTGATTAAGTTTTTTCTGTTCATTTTGGAAAAGTCAAAACATTGAAAGTGCTTTATAGACAATAAATGCTGTAAAAATGCAAAGACAAAACCAAAAAGTTAAAATAAACAAAGACATTGGGTCTCATTCATGAAATGTTAGTAAATCTGTGAGTAGATTTGCACATAAAAACCTTGGTACTAAAAACCTACGCTGGATTCATGAACGCAGGGGAAAACTTGGATTTGATCGTAGGCATGTGTGTATGTTCATGAATGCCAATCAATCCTAAATTGACAGCAGGTTCCTGCTAGTCAGCAATTAGCATACACCCCCACCCATTAATAGCCAGAGACCACCATACATGGAGGTGATAATAGGTGCATCCTGTCGACCTGCGAGCATAGAGCAATCAAAGAAAGAGAGAGAGACAGTGAAAGAAAAACTTGTCCGACACTGAGAATGAAGTTTTGCCCTCTGTCTACATAAGTGCCCTTTTTGCAAGACATGTTTTTCTCTACATCTTTTCAATAATTTTATATTTTAGTTTTTAAATTTGGCCCATGGCATCAATTCTTAATTAAAAGTGTGCTGTTTGGCCGTCAACTGCATTGAGTCGAGCCCTGTCCCTCCCTCTAGTTTCCCTTGTGGCAGCCGTATGCAAATCAAGCGCCCTGCAGAGCAGCATGACGTTTCCCTCATCTGCCATCATGGACAGCCAGGTAACGATAGTGTTTGCTCTAAGCCTCAGCATTGTTTCACTGTTGTGAAATTAAATCACTATTAAAACATCTGATAGTGGGATAGTGCACCCAAACATGAAAATTCAGCCATTATCTACTCACCCATATGCCGAGGGAGGCTCAGGTGAAGTTTTAGAGTCCTCACATCCCTTGTGGAGATCCAAGGGGAGAGTGGGTAACAGCACAGCTCCATCTAATGGAGGCTTATGGTGCCCCAGATTCAAACGTCCAAAAACACATAATTGAAACCACAAAATATGTGCTGAAGCCCCGACATAAAAAGTTGTTTGGAATAACGTCATCTGAACTCTGTTTTTAGCCTCATTGTAGCCTGTAGCTGTAACTGCTTCTGTGTACACCGAGCTCACGTGTGCGCGTGAGACCAGCGAAAGCACATGAACACACATGAAGCCCATGTCTCACGGTCTCGCACAAGTGCACACACGTCAGCGCAGTGTACACAGAGGCAGTTAGAGCTACAGGCTACAATGAAAATTTTCATTTTGCGGTGCACTATCCTTTTAATACAGGCAGTCTAATGTAGGCAATAACTCACTGTTAAGTTTAGCAAGTAAGATGTAAAACCACACTGTCTCCCTCCAACTCTTTGTCAGATCCAGGTTCACCAGCTGCCCGGTGTGAGCGGAGACAGATGCTGAATTGTTTTCCCAGGTCCACAAGTCATATTATAAAGAAGCGTATAGCTGCCACATCACACAAATAATGTTTATGTCTCCCACGTTGCGCCTGTGACAATTAAATTAAACAAAGATGACATTCAGTTTGGGGCTGCAGTGTATAACGAGGGCAGAGGAGGAACTTGTTGGTTTGTTATTTTATTTATTTAGAGAACAGCGTTTTTCAGTTTTGTATAAGTTGATTTAAATAACTCATTCACATTTTTAAGAATCCTATTCTGAAGCTTAAATCTGCTAAATACCAACTAATTTAGCTAAATGTGTTATATTTCTAATCTCCTGTCATGTTTAACTTACATGTATCAAAGGCATCTGAGTATTGTGAACATAACAGAGCACAATATGAAATAAAATTATAATTTCTAATAATTACAAACAATATTTGTGTACTATCTATATACAAAAGTACTACAAGCAGTCAGAAGCAGGTGTAGATTTTGTTGGTACCTACGAATAGATCGGAGCTACTAACATATTAATGAATGCCGAAATACACGTAAATTTCCTTCTGCAAACAGTTTACACACAAATTCGTTCTGCTCATGTTTCATGAATGAGACCCAATGTTTTTTGTTAAAAGCTAACAGCACACTTAATCTACTAAGACGCTGGCATCTGCAGTTCCTAATCCGCCACTCTTCATATCCACTGCTGGAATATTATGCTGAACTTTCTAATATAAAGCCAAAAGGATTCTTTATACTGGAGAAAACTTTAAGAACATGCACGTCAATCTACCGTACGTGTCATTATTAGGATAACTGTGAATTTACTCGCCATTCTTCAGTGTGCTACCCTAACAATTACAATTACTCTTTCAGTTTGCGTAGAAGCTCAAGTTTTCTTTCAGTCTGTCTTCTCTATCAAACACTCACCTATATTTTAATAGAAAAAAAATCCAGCATAATTTCAATTTAAATAGAATTTTTACAATATTTAAGTTAAATTCAGCACACAGGCTTTTGGCACCTTTAGTGGAAATGGGAAACTACGGGCATGTATGACAAACAAAATATACAAACACATCAAAATATAAATATGTACATACAAATAATGATTTGAAAATACTCCATCAATCCTTCCAGAATTTTTCCATATATCACCCATCGTAACTTCTTCCCAATACAATACGCGTTAACATTTACGTAATGTTTCATTTGAGTAGTGTCTGCTACAACAATGACCTTGTCCAACTTGTTCGACAAGGATGTCCTTTCACACCTTTTCTTTTGTAAACTGAAGTTGCCCAGGGGAATTGATCTCAGATCAGCACCAGTGTTCCCAGTAGTAATCTCAGAGGGAAACTTCACTGGAGTTGGTCAGGTGCAATACAGACAGTTTTCAACTTGCAAGAGGCTGCAGGTTTCGTTTTTAAAGGGAGAGGTGCTTTAGTCAGTTTCCAAAGCAAGAAAATTTGGCACTGTGGGGAAAATTCTCAGCCTAAGAGAGTCCACTGATACTTTACGAAAGGTAAACTTTCTTGTTGGATGCAGTCTAAATCTGGACAAGAAATGTCTACCTTTTATCCGCATTAGTTTGACAGATTTCCTCTGACTTTGCTTGAGTTCAGAAAGGAGCTTTTCAAACTATGTACTTACAGGCTTTAAAACCCAAAACTCGCACAAAAATCACTGTTGTCAACACCACAAACAGAAGTGTTTTTATCCCTCATTTAAATATTATGTCTTTGGCCAAAAGGTGAAAGCGCTTTATTTGATTTCTTACCTTTATAAATTTCTGTAATTAGATCACCGTGTTATGATCGAACATCCCTTTTAAGTTTTGTTAGGTAATTTCTAAACTGATGCTTGATCAGAGTCTCCGAGCAACTTCCTCCCATTCTTGCCGTCCATTTGATGTCATAGCTCCTATTTACTTGTTGACAACCATTTTGTGTCCCTTAAGAGCATATTTGCTGAGATTCAGCCAGGGACGCAAAATGGCGCAAGTCAAACCAGCTCTTCTAGTCTCAGTGAATACTTGGCGCTGAACGATCATTGGTCGATGTCCTCTTGAGTCTGACACCTCGTCGGATAGCCACCAGAAAATCCTCCACCTCGCTGTATTCTGTCTCCTCCAGGAGCTCTGGGAGAGGCCGGCGCTCCCATTCTGACACTCGGCCGCCGGGCTGCGGCGGTGGGGTGGGAGGATCCAACCCCTCGCTCTGGTGCTGGGTCTCCCAGGAGCTGGACCTCGGTGAAAGTGGTCCGCTGCAGCCTGGTGACAAAGGGGTGGTCGGGGGACTGAGCGGGGTTCGTGGTGTGTTGCCATCCTCTGATGCTGCCCTGCTGGGGAAACCAGGATGTTCAGGCACAGTAGGGGTCTTGACTGGAATCATGGGGGGCTTGATGGGGATGGGGCCCAAGCTAAGGCCCCCGGAGGGCCGTCGCAGGTTTGGTTTGGAGGATGGCGTCCGTCGGATGGTGGCGACTCCCGGGGTGATGATGGCAGAGGGGTTGGAGGGCAGCCCAGCAGTGGAGGCAGGGCGTTTAGACTGGAACATGCGGCGGTAAGACTGACTGATGTCACTGTTTCTGGGGATGGTGGAAGATTTATCATAGTCTGATGACTGCTGATGCTCGCCCTCCTGATCCGCTCCCACAGAGTAGTAGTCACAGTCTGATACTGTGAAGAGAGAGAGAACAGACTTATCATACTGCTCTTTAGTGTCTCAATAATGAATCATGTTTTCAAGCTTATATATATAGCTTATATCTATCTATATATATA